TTAATGGTCGCTTAACGCGCATTGGCAAAGTTGACGTTACGGCAAAACCTGAGAAGGAGGACACTACACGCAAGAAAAGCAAGAAGACGGACAAAGAAAACAAAAATGTGATAGAGCAAAAACCGACCGAGAACTTTACTGTTGCTGGTTCTGCCACGTCGCAAACAGCCCCTCCTCCCACCCAGACTGAGGGTTCTGCGCTACCACAAACATCCGGCGATACAGAACCTGCAAAGCCGAACCAAGACCCTGAACAGCAGCAAACAAGCTCTGAGCCCACTCAGACCAATGGCGCAATATCCCAAGAGAAACCCGCTGATACACCAGTGGAGGCACCCACTGCTACGCCAAAGGAAGCACCCACCGATACGCCAATGGAAGATCCCACCCCCTCTCATGTGAACACAGAGGCTCCTGCTGCTGCTTCTACTCCGGCTGCTCCTGCTGATCCCGTGCAGCCTGCCACAAATGCAGTTAAAGACGAGTCGGCTACAGAAGCAGCACCAGACTCTGGTTCATCAAAAATTGAAGATGAAAAGAAAGAGGAAGCCACCGAGACCAAGGCTCCAGATGCAGCTCCGGAGGAGAGCAAGTCAGATGATAAGCCAGATGTACAACAAAAAGACGACGCTGTACACGCAGCCGAAGCTCAACAGCCTAGGTCGCAGGAGTCTGGCGAGAAGCCTATGTTAGACTCCGAAAAGCAGCCTGACCAAGATCCACCAACTGCGGCCGCAAAGTCCGATGATGCATCGAAGGAAACAGCTCCTGAGCTAACCACAGCCGCTGAACCTGTGCCTGAACCTGCCACGGTGCAGCAGGAGCTATCCCCTACCACAGTACCAGATGCAAATGCCGCCCCTTCGCAGATTAACCCGCAGAAGGAGACGCCCAATCCAGCACAACCGGGCCAAGAGGCTCCGGAGCTGCATACAGACCAGCCAGCTGTTGCGAATGGGGAAACCCCACAACCGCAAGTTCCAGAGGTACCTCAGGTTGTCGAGCAAACAGGACGAACCCTTACGGTGTTGGAGAACTTTGATGACAAGACCGCCCAAAGCCGCGAGTTCAGTATCTACTTCAACGCCAAAAAACCTCCTAGGCTAACCAGTATGCAATGCACCTATTCCCCCCACTGCATGCACGAACACATTGGACATGCTAACACCGCAAAACAGAAATCTCTTCATCCCTCTGCGTTATTACATCACTACCCTCGCGCTATCGGGATCCCGAAACCTCCCTGCCCTTCGCAAACTCACATGCTTACAACGAAATCCGACACACGGTGGCACAAAAGTACAGTTGGAGTCCCATGCTGGGATGCTACGTTGGACCTGTCGGAGTCGCTGCGCGAGGAGTACCAGCGCGGTTCCTCGGCGGTCCTGAAGCAAAAGAAGAAATTGAAGAGAGCGGAAAGGACGACAAAGCCGCTAGCAACGAGGCCACCACCACCAATAGTGACAAGACAGAAAAAGAGAAAGAGAACGAAGCAAAGACTTCCGCCGCGGAGGCACCTGCTCCGTCTACATCCGGCCCTTCAGCTGCAGCCGCACCCGCGTCCGCATCAACACCCACACCCACACCCACACCCGTTGCGGCTACCGCGGGCGATCCGATGGATGTCGATAAATGATATCCCTCTCCCATTCCAGGTCTGACCTGGAAAACGAAGGAGTGGTTTGCTATTATGTTGCACCGGCGTGTTCATGTTTCTATGCCCAAGATACCCACTTTTACATCTACACCATCAACTCTAATCACACGGCTACAAATATATCATACGTAGTATCAAAGACGAACTGTAAAGTAAAATCAGTATGCATGCCGGGGGCAAAGTCAGCTACTAGTAGTTAAACCTACTATCAATCTCCCCGACTTATGCACCGTGCTGAATTATGCACCATGCACACCATACGGGATCACACCCAAATCTCCAACAACAGAAGGAAGCAGCGACCGCATTAGTAGAACTTACTGTACTACCTAGTAGCCCCACGGATAAAATACCTCAAGGAACGAATCCAACCAACCAACCACATCGTACGGTAAGTACCTAGTAAAATTCCAAACCAGCCCGAATCGTCCGTGCCAATGGCACGCGACAACCAAAGAGATACAGCAGATACTTAGAAAAAAAAAAAAAAAAAAAAAAAAAAAAAAAAAAAAAAAAAAAAAAAAGAATTATTATGATTATCATTATATGCAAGACGCCCATTGGCGCACGGACATCATTCAACATTTCCTTCCCATCGCAGCTGAACTCCCCCCCTCGTCTGTTCTGCGCCATGGTCATCTATCTGCAAGTGGGGGAACTGTGGCGACTTTTTTCGTGGAGACCCAGACCAGACCGTAGGAAATATGAAGCGATATATGAATGAAGCAGGGTGAAAGTTTGGGTTGCTCTTACTCCTGTATACAGGTAAAATGGTTACAAATTTGTGTTTCAGTCAACGGGAAGAGCCAGGAGGAGGGTTGTGGTACTTGTTTACTGGCTGCTGGGAGGTTATCGATTAAATGAGAGAGTAAGTAGGTAGTAATGAGTGTGCTACATATGTACCACATTTGATATCTCACAATGAGGCAGGTGGAAATGTGTTGTATGGTTTGTGTTACGGTTTGTATATGCATCAAAACAGATGAGATGGATGGAAGTGCTACTTTGGGACACTGATAGGTTAGTCTAGTCTGCTTTGGGGGTTGATGTGTGATTCAAAATATTAGTTGCTTGTAAGAGATGATTTGTAAACAACCTGTCCTTTAATGGTAGGGATGAGATGAAGAAAAGATATTGGTCAACTTCAAGATCCAATGTGGAGAGAGGGGGACAGCTCTTCTTTGCTATTGGATTTGAGTGAGATTAAAGCAAATCCAAGGCCGCTAAAACATGAACTCAAAGCTGGATGTATTTAACAGAGCGTGGCCGTATACACTCTGCTGCCAATATCCACCTCCATGTCATCAGTATCAGTACCCAGTGTGTAATGATCGTTAATTACCCTTGACAAGCAACCTAACGCCTTTACTTCCCTTCCTGGTAGCAGGAATGAACATATCAGTGGCAAACTCAACATCCTTGTTGGACGTTTCAAACAGTTCCAACCTCCCACCTTTCGCACCTGTCTCATCATCCGCACCGTGATATAGCCTAAACATCCTGGAGACGCAAATATAGAGTTCTGCATAGGCCAGATTGATGCCCAAACATGACCTGGAGCCCTTTGTGAAGGACACAAGATACCCATTCAGCCTTTTACCCTCCTTTTCGGCCTCGATCCACCGTTCTGGACGAAACTTGCTTGGCTCTGGAAAGATGGCGGGATCATGATGCACAAAAACAGCGTTCATGCTCATGGGTGTTCCCGGAGGAATTATCCAGTCCTTTCCACCATTGTCGTCGTGGAATATCACCGCTTCATCTGGGGATACACGTGCCAACCGGGCAACAGAGCCATAGGATAGCCGTAGACCTTCTTGAATCACGGCAGTAAGGTAAGGAAGGTGCTCCAGGACTTCGATACCGACGTGTGCCGTAGGATCGGGGATAGAAGCGATTAATTCGGTACGAAGACTGGATAGAGTATCCGGTTGGCTCAGCAGATAGTATGTGATGACCGATAGTGTCCAAGATGTGGTCTCAGTTCCGCCGGCCACGAGGATCCTGGCTTCCTGGCCAAGCCGTTCGACACTCTTTTCTGAGACTGGAAGATTCGGATTTGCTAGCAGATCATGAAAAATGGTTTTTGGCTGCTTTCCGGCTTCTGTATCTTTATCGGTCATGATCTGGTGCACCTGGACCACGTTATCGCGGGTGAAGGACTGCGGCTCATTAGCAATACATTCGAAGATTTGATGAAAGCTGTCTATTGTAGTACCCGGTCATCCTCAAGCACATTTGCAACTCTTTCATGCATTGCAGATTAGCTCCAGTTTTTGATGTGTCTATACGCATGCAGGAACACAACATTGATCATACTCACGTTGGACTAATCCATGATACAATCCATGGTGGAATAAGCTGTCCCATATAAATGAGCCAGTGATAGTGCTTCATCCAATGTACAACTTTGCTCATAGCAAGAACGGCCTCCTGAGCAGGCTCACCAAAGTCATTCATTTGCAACCTCTCGCGCGAGTGGCTGAAACTGTACTGCATGATGACGTCTACATCTGTGAGTATATTGGATGAATGGAGGCTTATTATCTTCACCGTTGATACATACCATTGGTAAACGCAGCGTAGGCAATATCCATGCGGACTGGGTGACCCGTATTTTTTAATCCATCTAGACGTTTGAGGAGTTCGTCGACCTTTCCCCATATGACAGGCTGCAAACGACGTACACTTGCTTTTGAGAAGAATGGACTCAAAGCGGAACGACGCATGCGATGTAAATCATGTTCTATAGTAGAAAAAGTACTGTCGGGCGCCCCAAATTGATGTTTGGACTGAGGATTCAAATTTCTCTTCTTCTTGCCGCCGGGTGCATATAGCTCATCATAAAAGGCCGAAGTCTCGATATGAAGCTCTTCGGGGTTGATGCGAACAATGGGCCCCTATACATTATAGTGTCACTATATATGGGGTTTTATTCACAACGAAATCATCCCACTCACGTAGCGCTTATGCATGTCCTTGACTTTGAAGATATACCGGCCACCACATATTGCATCGTAATAGAACTCATAGCTGAAGCGCGCAGTCAGCTTCATCGTTCCCCCCTTTCGACAACTAGAAATCAGAACTTACAACCAAGTCACAGCTGCCAACGGGGGGCCTGGGAAAGACGCGATGGGGCTAAGGTACAGGCGATACACTGCGCAGCCTATTAGATAGGCAAGCAATAAAGTTAGAGTTATAGTAGCCACAGAGGAGGGGCTGAGCTCCTCAAACAAGGCCATTCTGTATTTAATCTTGTCTTGAAAGATCGTCGAATCTTTCTTCGTATGTGCAGGTATGGTGATGTGAGAGAATTGAGGAGGAGATGAGATGGCGTGAGGGGTAATGGCCACTAGCAGAAGTCTTGAAAGGTCAGCACCTACTAATGCTACTACTAGCACTACTAGTACTGGCACTCGCGCTGAACGGCTCCTATGCTTTCTTTTTCGAGGAATATTCCGCACGCGGAAGATGTGCCCTGATGACCTACAAACGCAACGATGCTGACTGCACCCCGATCTGGGGTTGCTTGCTAGCAATGATTAAGGGTGCATGATATCGAATACGCAAAGAAACAACCTCTAAAGCTTTGAAGAAGTGACTTATTGTTGTTATTTCATCTGGTGCTAGATACGAAGGCAGAAGAAGAAGAATGCAGAAGCGGAGCAGAGAAGAAAATGATGATGTTTGAATGCTTCCCGAAGGGGAAGGTGCCCGCCGCAAACGAAGTTATAAGTGAGGAGCGCATGTTGGACATTTCGTTTATGGTCGTATACATCTTTTACAATGCCGAGCAGATATAGTGAAATTTGCTAGCGATTTCCCTCAATGATCTCCTCAGAATTAATCTTGTAGCTTCCAGAGGTGGGACAAGATGGTCGAATTGCCTACTACACAACTTTGATACTACTTAGTATACCTCAATACCATAATTTTACCCTTATGGTAAACATACAGTAAGCCTTTCCATCTCCCTTCCTAATAGTTTGGTAGAGAGACATGTACAATACACACGGAGTAAGCTTTATCTATATGCTTACCCCTCTTTCGAGTCCGTGGGTTCTAATCAGCCTTCAACGCTAATGAACTTCTTGTCCTTGACTCGATCATGGTTTAAGTTGCAGGAAGTTGCGGTGTAGAAACCTTGAATAATGGGAGTAGCTACGTTATAAGACTCTCCATAGTTGTGTCCAGCCAGTCGTTGTTCTTTTTTTTCTTTTTTTTTTCTTTTTTTCTTTTTTATGATAATAAGAGATAAGGGGGATTGAAGGGTGTCCGCGTGCAAGTAGGATATCTACTCCAATTTTCCCTGATACGGTAATCTCGCATGTGATGGTGATTAACAAGATGGGGGAGAACGTGTGATAGGTCTTTGAGTTGAATGACTCGGTTTAAATCAAGGCAGGGGCGATGATCGCATTGTGAGAGTATCACTCTACTCCCGTTGAGTTAGTCGACTTATTTCGATTCGTATGAATGACCCGTGAAACGTGCAGTTGTTGGGTAGAGTAGATACATCATTGTACAGGCTTCGGAGGGGACACAACGCCTGCCCCGCATGTAGGAAGTATCTACGGGGCCAGGGAAGCACAAAATGCAGCAGGCCAGTTGAAACAGACAATTGGACTTGTGATACTCCGTAAACGTGTACGCAATATGGAAACAATCTTCACCTGGATAGTTCTAGACATTCGAAAGAGAAACGTCAGCTAAAAGGACTTGACCTTGAGGGGAGAGAATGGACGATCCTTTTTGAGCTGTTGATACTAGTCCAGACTCACCGCTATGGTCGAGACACTGAAATGTGGAAGTGTGTACCTATCAGATTATGGAGCCCTAGATCCAGAATAACCAGTTCAAATGATGTGTTGCGGTAAAGCCGAAAAGGGGGACGATCCCTGGAACGAGTGGGTGGGAATACCCATCCGTCATCGAGTTAGTAACATCCAATCTCAACGTCGGATGTATAAATATTTGCTAATGGATGAAGAGGTTTGATCCACAGGACGATCGAGAACGTGTCAACTTCTGTTGTTTTCTACAAACGCAGAATGCATTATTCACCAGTCTGTACCCAACCAATTATCTGCCAGTTTCCAATAAGTGTTCTTCGGATAATTGGTGTGCACTAGTAAAAATAACCTGCGCTGTGGTTGTCAGTCAGTCTGTGACATTGCCCCACTATTATGGACTCCAGTTACTAGCATCATAGACTGATTCGAACGTTGCAATCACTGATGACATTATAGTAGACCTTTGTTTAAACCTCTGCTGCCGTGTGGGACTGCCGAAATATGGATGGAATACTTTTGTTTCGCCCCAGAAAATTGTCTCATCTATTTCTGTCCATCACGGCTTTGCTTCGCCTCATGGCGGTAGCCACCTGAGCAGGCCACTATCGGCTTCGCCGTTTCTTCTTGCTGCCTAGTTCCTCCCCTTCTTTTCTTTTGCCTCTCTCTCTCGATTACAGGCTAGTTTAAGGAAAAAGTAAAACTGCTACTCGAGGCATTTATGGCGTCACGTAATATAGGCCATCCCGAAATGACAGAAAGCCATAGAATTGATCCGGGTCGGCATTTCCTTGTTTGCTAGCCAAGATTAACTGCCTCCCTGGCGTCCAGTTCCGAATCACTGCTTCCGCACTGCAATAGGGCTCACTCATTGGATCTAACGGCGGGTGATCCTGCCGCACAGATCCAACTAAGGGGGGCGGGCACTGCAGAAAAGCACTGGGCTCTGGATGGAGAAACAGTCCATGTGTAAGCCAGTACGTTAAGTATTGGTTGGTTCCCCTGGAGTCCGGCCACCAAGGCACTGTCTAGACCAGCAGATGTGGAGCTGGGGTGTTTTACAGCTGACGCTCCGTGTTGACGATGGCTGCCCGATTTGAGGTGACAAACTGGGCTGGTCGGCAGTGATGATCAGACCTCAAGAGCCCCGCGTAGCAGAGATCCAGCCAAGCCAAGACGACGACATGTCATTCGCATGCGACGAATGGTTGAGGGCATGGTAGTGTTCCTTCACCCGATAAGCGTGGTTCGGTCGGTTAAGGAAAAAATAAAATATCGGGATCTCAAGGAAAGCCAAATGAGGATTGGAGGGGCAATGGGAAGGGCTTTTATCGTTCCGGTCTCTGCACAAGCTGGACGCGGCAACTAATGGTTACCTTATCGCGATGGGTACCCCGCCTGGACATAGAAGAGACTCCCGAACACTAGTAAAACACCGCAGTACTTACGCAGAAGTACCATATAAGAGCAACGAGAGGAAACAAGGGATTCGGAGAGGACGAAAAATTCTTTCTGTGCGCTTCGTCTTCCATCCGCTATACACTCCCCACCGGATCCAGAGTGACAGCTAAATATAGCCAGTCAGTCCACACGGAGAAGTCAAAAAGAGTCGTTCCGGCGGAGCATTGCAACGTTCCCCAGTCATATACTCCGTACGCGGAGTGGATTAGATCATCTATGGGTGGTGAGGTAAGCCGAATCTGTTGTGTGCCTTCCCCATTCAGACGGACGATTGCGCGTTGTGCTGCCTGAGGCAGGCGGCACACGGCAGTCCGGCAGTCTAGAACTCCCTCCCCCAGCCCAATTCATGGCGTGACTCAACTTGAGTCTCGCCTTCCCTCCCGGGCCTGACGTGCTCGGGCGTCACCCAGGGTGGTCACGGTAACTAGTAATGGGCCGAATGGAGACACACCTGGGGATGTGAAAAGAAATCAAGGCTAACCTAATCCCCCCCATCATGCTCTCCCCATGTAGGTGGAACAAAGTTCTAGAATTTCTGTTGCTTGAATCGATTTCCGGCTCTGGTTATATCTATCGGGCTGTTCGCTTTCTCTACCTTTGGTGTTCTTATCGTGAGACGCAAACAGCCTTGACACTTTTCGACTACCACAACAGGAAGACCTTTCGGTTACTCTTAGGCTATTCTTATACAATTGATTGACCGTCCCGGCGCCTGTGATCTGGTGCTCCCTTCGGTATCCCTCTTTCAGTATCGCCTAGTTATTCTCCGAGCGATTTTTCTGCTTTCCAGTCGGCTGCACGATACTCTTCCATCACCGCCGGTCAATAATCCCGTTTAGCATTACTTACACCCGCCCTTTTCGGTATTAGGCCCATTGCACGTGCGGTGTACCTTGGAGAAGACGGCACACTGGTTTATAAGAAAGGGGCCAAACCAAGAAGAAAACAAAGAGGGATTTAAATCGCAGAAAGGGGGAAACAGAATACACTGCCATTCCTTTGGTATGTATGTCTCCCTTCCTAGCTATAATTATCCTTTATGATTTTTTTTTTCTTTCGTTTGTCGATTACCCGTTTGTTACTTTGTTGTCCCTTATCTCTCCCCACTCAGAGGCCGGTGATAACGCTCCCTCAGCCGGGCCACCAACGTTCTAGTAGTACTACTAGTGAGACCGGTTTCATTTGTGACCTATCTGACCAATTCTGGTACCACAGCAGATACACACAGAGCAGAAAACAAAAAAGCTTATCGTTGTTACTGTCATTACAAAGAATCTGGCATTCGCCCGCTACATATTTGCCTCTCATTGCCAGGGTTATTCTCAAAAATAAGAAACCACTCAGGGAAACCACTCAGGCGTGTATTCCCTTGCCGTTTCAGCTCGATTCCATTCGGCACATGCCAGTTCGGCTGAACGAGGACGAGGCATTATTACGAAACTATATCATCCAGTACTACCGTGCGAGGCCATTGGTCCAACCGATTGTGCAGTTGGATCCCTGCTAGACGCAAATCCCTCATACTTTCTGACCCCATAGGGGCAAGCTCTCGTGCTCCACAACTGGCGCGGTTCGGCGCAAGGTACCATCGCCGAATTATTTTCAGATAGATGGTTTTTCTTTTGGACCGGTGTCATATTTATACTTAACCAGATCCTCACCGCCATCCATGACTCAAAGCAATAACCACCATCGCCGCACTTCCTCGGGCTCCAATGTCCCTAAGCTGAGGAACTCACGGCCGGCTTTACATCGGAGAGGCACATCCTTTGTCAACCACTCTATATCCAAACTAGGTTCTGGACAAGTCACCAAGCAGTTAGAGTTGGACGACGATCGGCAGCCCGAGATGGCGGCTAGCTTTCTCAACTTTTGGTATGTGTGTTATGCTACATCCCAGTATCTGCTGCCCTGCCTTCTCTCCAGCATGGTTGCTTTTGCCAATCCTCGCACATCCCCGTTAACTTTGTCGCTTATTCCCCTTGCATATCAAATGATCGCTTATCTTCAGAATCGAAGCTAACCGATCTACAGCGCCATGTGCGAGAAGCAGATAACAGTGCCTGACAATTCCCTCTTATATTGTAGCGAAAGGTATGAGACTCCTTATCGCGCCACAGCCTTGACGTGCACAGCCTCCACTGTTGGTTTAAATTCCAACTAGTTCCCCCTAGCCCTTTCTTTGTCTCATTGCGATCTCTTTCCTTTCAATAATTATCTTCTAACACGTTATCTCTGTAGCTGTCGCCGCAAAGACTCCCACAAACCACTTTTAGCTTCCTTCTCATCGAACTCCTCCATGTCTTCCTCAACAACTCCACCCGCCTCTCCTCCTATGTCTCCTCGAATGATCGTAGCACCCATGACTCCCACGAAAGGTGCCGCCAGATCCTCGATATCCAGGATACCCAGCGAATGGAATGATTCCAAGACGGATCAGGATCCATCCGAATGGAAGCCAGTGATACCTATGGGATCCGGTGCCAGTTCTCTGGCGTCATCGGAGGCTTGGAATTACCTGTCCCAGTTTCATCGTGATGACACTATGATGCCGGTCCGGCGCTCTCGGTTTGATCACCGCAGTTCGACCAGCTTGTCGGCACTCTGGAGTGCTACGGGGTCTGTTCCGCCACTGATGCACACGCCGTCCACAGCTGCATCGTCGGTGAGCAGCAACGGGTCGGACTATATGAGCTATATGCATGACTCGGCCTATCGTCCACTGCCCCCTCGGCACAGGCCCCAGATGTCTGGTTGCTCAAGCGCCTCGAAAGGGCTTGACTTGGTAGTGCCTCATGTGCATGTGAGCGTGGAAGATGCCCCCGCCGTTAACATCTCCAACGATGGGTCGATCTTCCCCGCCAGTAGTGCGCTATGGGATGAGAAGCCCAGCGAAAAGACGCCCACCCTGAAGACGGTCTTGGGTTCGCCGGCCTCTGATATACCTGCCCGTTCCCTGGAGGAGACTTCGTGATCAAACCGTCACGATTCTGACGCTTTCCAAGTCGACTGAGTTTACAATCATTAGTCGAAATTGCAAGCGCTCAGATGTTGTGCATGTGGGTCATGGAAAGGGCTAGCCTCAGGCATTATTTTGATTTTCTTTTCTTTTGGTTTCTGTTGTCAGTCATTTTGGTATATGCAAATATGGAGCGGGAAAAACACAACAGATGCATTAGAGCCAGCATGAGTACTACGAAGCGATGGATGATAGGCGTGGAAACGGCACCTTCCTTTTGGACATTGAGCACATAGCGGATGCTTAAATAGATTCTTAATACCACACGGACTCTGGGCATATGTATAGACGAGCGGGTACTTCTATATAGAACTGAACAAGACACGGTTATTTATTGAACCATTACCTATCAAATTGTGATCTACCACTAGACCGACCATGGGGTACCCGTAGTGTGTGCAAGGTTAATTAGCTGCTGTCAAAGACTAACAGTACTGCCGAGCGCCCTGTATTGTGAAGTATAACTGACTAAGCACATACATACAATGATGTATAATGACATGCATTCAACGAGTGGCAAGTCACAGCCAGCAAAGAGAGGATAATTGCTCGCAGCATCCTAATGCTATACATGAATCGTACAAAAAGCTTAATTGGTGAATAAGCTACAACATCATGCTGTGCAGGTCATACAAACCAATAACATGCAGTTCACCTCACCTACTAAGTAGAGGAAGCTCGCTCCCAAACTTTCTCTCTGCTCCTGATGTGTACTATAGCATAGCTTTTGGGCATCATAGCTCGGTGTAAATTCCTGTTCGTAGATGTGCCCCGTTTTAATCCCAATAATCACCAATTCGCGTTGTATACATACACCTACAATTCGTCGCACCTCACAACGACAAGATCTCGGTGGCAAAAGAGCAAAAGAAGGGCAGGCGATGAAGATGTCAGCCAAGCACTGGACATGCGTTTATATCATAGCTGCAGGGTGTCTGCGACTGGTGCATCTTCTGGTGTGGGGTTAACCATCTTTTGAGGATGCAGAAAGCCCATTATCCACTCAGCGATGCTAGTATCTTTAGCCTATCACCAACCTTCTTCATTTCTGGATGTCTGCTAACGACCTGCGTTGAAGAATTCAACTCTTGAGAGGTAAATAATCAGCTCATAGAAGGATGCTTTAGCAATAGAGCATTCTTGGAAACTACTCAAAAATAGGGGTACAATCTTGCAAGATGAGTTCATCGGAAACCCAGATTCTCCCCTTCTACTGCAGCCTGAGATTCTCAAATGCCTAGATTAGGCAACTTGAAGCGAACCTCGTATCATAAAGGAACTCGTAAATAGAGCAGACTCATTTGTCAAAGACTAGTAGCAAGTGCAACAGAGCTAAGGTACCAAGGTTAGTTTGGCGAGCTTTCCTGGAACGGCAAGCACATTTGTCCTGCCAGCCGGAAATGATTTCCATCCATCCCCCGTCAACTGAATCTTGCGAGCGTCCCGTTGTTTCTTTCTTTCCATCCTGTCATCAGCCCGATGCCAAATTCCGCATCGAATGAGCATCAGAATACGGAACATCAAGGTTTCCTTGTCCTTTGCATCTCGATTATGCATCCGTCTCCCCCATCCATCGACTACGTTTGCTTCAGGGATTTCACCTTCTGCTCTCCTAGCCCCTCCCAGACCTCCCTGTTCGGGCTCCAGGTTGTCCTCGTCAGAAAAGAGCTAGGTTTCGAGGACTTTCCTTCCTTCGCCCGTCAATACCTGGGAGTCGAAGTACTTCTTATGTCTCACGATATCCCGACCTCGTCTGCCCTGTTGCGCCCATGAAAAACTTTACTGAATATACTGAGGGCTGAGGGCTCAAATGTGGCTTACTATGAGAGTAGAACGCTTCAAGTTCTATTATCACACAGGAGAACTTGTCCCTGACTTGCCTGGACACGAGACAACCTGGACTAATCACTGGTTGTGAAGATGTTGGAAGACTCCACATCGTCCTCTGAAGGCCTGGTTAAGAGCAAGTGTCTTTCAGCAGATATACTCATTACTACCTATGGGATTAGATGCTGTGTCTACCTCTCGCTCCGTGTCCAAAACGATGCTATTCTTGGATTTTTGCTAACCTACCGCTAACGAAGAGCCGGAGAGCCCGCAGACCAGATGTGCCAAATCCCACTTTCCATTCGAACGACGTACTTCGGCAGAATTAATCACCCACGACTTCGATAATACGAGAGATTGGAGACACCTTGAAGACCTACATCTGCAGTTGTATCACTGTGGGGTCATACGCCGTCAACTCTCGAGGCTGGTTACACAGACTGATCCACTTGGCCGGGTATGTCCCATGGTCGGCAATGACAGGAACAGGTGCATATTTTGCTGCATGTCATCAATGAACAAGACATATGGTCGAATGAATGCCTAGATTTAAAGGACGAGACATATACTTGGAAGGAAACCTATGCCACGATAGGCTGAATGCTGGCTTGTTGGTACAAGCCAACAGCAATTTTGCTCAATGCGAACAACGACGTTGCTCAGTGCACAACCTACCCGCTGCATAACCCGAATACGGCGGTTGGTCGACATTCATAGCCTCTGTCCTCAAATACAAGGAGATCATATTGATGTTGACACCGGCAGTAGCAGGAATCACTGTCTAGCGACGGATAAACCCCTTAGGTTCAACTAGCACCGGCGGACGACGTTGCTTGGGCACGATCGCAATGCACGAATTATGATATATTGTCAGCGTTGGGGTGTGAAGAGCTAGGATACAATACAATGCAGAGTGGATGAGAAGATGCTTAACTAGATGCGTCGCGGGAGCACATCCTTTCTGAAGTGACTAGGGCTGCATTAATGTCATTCTGTCTACTAAGACTTGATTGGACTGGCACGGGAACGAAGACCTAAGGTATCTGACAGTACCAGGCGTGCTGCAACCGACACGCGGCGTGAAACAGATCAAGATAGGCCAAGGAGTCAAAATAGGCGAAAGTGATAACACAATTGCGATAGGAACGAAATTCTATTGCTTATGGCTCGATAGCATCCGTGCTGGGCGCAGTGTGCCGTCGAAGGGCCATCTGCAGTCAATGTTATTCAATGGTCTCGGCTACGCAACGCGCGCGCTACTCTTCCAACTACGAGCCCCCGAGTCGAAAACCTCACGCCTACGAACGATTTAACGGATTCACCCACACTACTGGGAATATCTTCAGTGATTAACATGCCTTAGGCACGAGAGATCCTTTTTCTCAGTCGAAAACAATACACATACAAGCAAGGATTGATCTATGGCGAAATCAATACAACACATTGCAACATAATGTACATGCCCAGGACGCCGGAACCTTGATACTTCTTTAATCACAGCACAAGAAACCCAATAATCTTGCTATAGGGATTACACGGCAACCGATGTGGGACATAAAGTGGCGGACATGTGGGTTATTTTCAGTTATCGTCGCCAATAATGTCGTCAGGAAGAATATCGTCAGGGAGACTGTCCGCAAAGCCACCAGAATTATCATTATCGAGGCAGCACATGTAGCAACCCAATGATGCTTGCCACTGTCATAACAGTCAGTGAGGATTATATGCCTAGCATCAGGATGCGCCTACCTCCGGCTTGCTGCAGGGCAGATCGGAGCTCTTAGGGAGGCATTGGCCCGTGCAGAATTTGTTTCCAGTATCAGTACCCTGGGAACCAGTCTGGGCATAGGCAGTAGATGCGAGGAGGGCAAAAGCCGTGGCGAAAAGACCGGTAAGCTGCATCTTGCTAGTTTGATCAAATGAGTGGCAGTCTGAAAACGAGGGAGTGGACACCGATCAAGTTCGGCAAGAGGACAGAATCAAGTATAGGTAATGTCATGCAGGCGATCACGTACATGGGTGGCAGCGACACATAAGTTGCTTTATAAGTGTTCCGTTTTCCCTTGCTATTTGCGAAGCAAGGGGGGGTGACCTGCACCTGAGATCACCATGTCGCGTCCCCATGGTAAAGGCTCGGGAAACAAGGTCCAAAGAATGCTGCTCTCCTACGAGTATGAATTCCAGGACAACACGTTTTGGTATGCTCTGGCGGAGCAGAGCCAAAAGACGTCAACAACATCGATATGGACTCATTTTTTGAGCAACTTAACCCATATCTCCCATCACTCCTGAACGCGTTCCTGAAAATACCACAGAACACATCAGTTTATATCTCCCAGGAGAATCCCTATTCTGCGAGTGGCTGAACAATATGTGGCTGTGGCCGATTACCTACCTACGGCATGTCTCACATTCCCAGCGGAAGGGCCTCACGCGCCACGCATAGTAGGCATAACTATAGATACAGGGATAAATTATCCGGAGCAAGGGAAAATAAACAAAACAACTGTAGGAATCATACTAACTACCCTTCGGAGACAAGGCACTACAGTAAGTATAATCAAAAGGTTATGTAATAATGTGAGTATGGTCATGCTCAAATAGCATAATTTATCTTGCTTGCATTGATGAAGATCAATTAGTGCAGGAGAAAAGCAGTACTAACTTTATACTTCGATCCAGCTAATCATACATACTACAGGGTAGATGAAAGTTTGGGAAGTGTACATAGTATTATACATAAACAGTGAGAATCAGGTCGGCGTCATAAGTGATTGTATCACAGGCATGACATAGTAAGATATATACAGCAGTTAATCAGATTACGACCATAGGAATAAACGAATACGTGAAGAAAAACTAGTCTCCCCCGTAGACGTGTTCAAATCCGTCGAGCTAAACTAATAAAGGTAAAGTACTTTCTTCAGGGCAGAAATTACTAAACTACGTGTAATCCTATTACCACAAACCATGTCACCTAATCCACACAAAAAAGAGGGTTGTCATGAAGAAACTTGCGAGGGGCGGCCCACAAATTCTGACATGGTAAGACGTGCGTGGACAATGCGCGAGTCAACTCACCCCTGAAGAGTCGTAGACCAGGTGGCAAATTCCCGAGGGACACCTCTTCAACTAGCCACGTTCAGCTTAGATGTGCTTCATCTAAGCTGATCATGACTTGCATATGCAAGCTTCGGATGCCTATCTTGAATATTATCATCCTGGAGGAACCTGCATATGGGGGGCTAAGGTGGACTAGTTCGAATATCTTCGTAGCCTGTACGGAGTAGTGAGAGGATGGACTTGCTCTAGTATGAGATTAGGCATATGTTCCTCTGTAGGCTGCTGCATAACCGGCCCAAAAAATGGGCTGCCAGATTCCACTGTGGCCCGGAAACAATCTCCGTAGGGCAGGCTATGGCAGCAGGCTCACGGAATGGTGCCAGCACATCTGGCTGAGACTCCGCCTCGAGACATGGTTCAGTAGACGTTCTGACAAACAACGACCGGAACCGAGTAAATATTCGCTTTTTGCCGTTGTTGTCATCGCGCTTCCTTATTTTCAAGTCGACAGTGACCAGTCAGTATGGACATGGATTTCCCTTAGAATGACCTATTCAGGCAGAGTACTGCACTCTGCGACGTACTGTTGGGTTTCTCATTGCTCGCAATAAATACGCGGAAGAGCGCCTCCACCGGTATACTTTGAATGCCAGCCGAAGCGAGACACCGAGCAAGGTCTGTTGTTGACTGTCAGATTTTGCAAATTCTGGATTGCAACCTCTCATGGCATGCCCAGGGCTGCTGAACAAGTGTAGTCGACAAGTCTTCACTGGTACAAGCCATACTTTGCATCGCTAACCCGCAATGTCATAAAGAGATGTCAAATGCGAGGAGTCCGCCGGAATTGTGAAGGCTCCACTGATATTTTGAGCCATAAGGTTAGTACTGATGCAAACTTCTCACACTTATCCTCTCACGGCATGCGCCTTGATAGTTTGTAAGCGTTGCCAGAACGCATGACCTTTTTCCTCGCGTTCGGGAGATGACTTCGGAGGCGTCCAGTAGTTGCCCAATGAGGATTCCTGGATGTATTTTCCTTCGCTAATGGGCACTCACCTTGGCGCTAGAAACCACCCGGTTCGTCTGGTTGCTGCTGCCCTTGCCCTGCTCCCTCCGCCCCCCTTTTCTCTCCAGGTAGGTATTCCTCATCTCCTTCAGGTTTTATGGTTGCTTCTTCTTAGCTGCCAGTGCCTAACCTGGAGCAGAACCCACGAATGTGATTGATCTACTAGAGAGACTGAAAACCGACTGGTAAGCGAAGACTACTTCACTTTCGACACAAATTTCTGGCTTCTGCAAAACTTTGCGCTTGCACGGACAATACTGGGCGTAAGCTCGCCTTCTGCGCGGTTTGGTCAGAGCCGAAATATAGTCCTCTACAGTTGGCTCTTACCTCTACTTCCGAGACGTCTTGCCCACGCCCACAATAGCCAGTGTTCTCACGGCGGGCGATTGGACTTTCCGTCGTTGCGAATCCGGTCAATCCCCGGAAATGAAGCAAGCCAGATTCTCATAACATCTTCCGAACTCTTACAGCAGCCTGCCCGCCGGTGGAGCGCCAGAATGGACTCTGGCAGGTCTGGACAATTTGTAGGGTCGGCCCGATGCCTTGATCACCGAGATGTTGGCATTTGAACAGGACAAGGCGTGCCAAAGCGCGAACGAAGCTTGGTATGCAGTTGCTTGGAATAGCACCTTTCTACTAATTTATCAGCATCACCCAATCATTTCAAACTCGATAGACTGCACTACACTCGGCATTCAATCGGTGGAGTCTCTGCCCAATGTTGATGCCCGATCAAGAAAGCCAGACCTGGTTGTACGGATCAAACTTAGGACGTCGCACATGGCACCTTCGATGCAAGCGTATCGAACGGAGTTGTACCTTGACAGGCCTGACGTTCATGCTAAAGCGCACTAGTTCCCGTGACGTAACCAAACATATGACAGCATACTCAGTCGCTGATCCAACACACGAGCGTGATTGACGATTGCGATACGAGCGAGAAATCTATTCTGGAGTCACACAACAGACGGTAGTCATATAAAGTGAAGTCCTGAGCACCACGTGTATCTTTTGCAGGCTTGCAACGAAGCTTTAGATCTGGTGGATGCCTGAGTTCATTGTGATGAAACCATCGAAGATTGACGCTAGATCTGCACGTCAAATCGAGCCAGACTACAAAGCTTGGCGCTCATTCGAACAGGGGTCCTTACCACCCATGCAAGTCCAGCACAAGCAACGACCTTCGGTTCCATAGAGAGACGTCTTTGGTATAATACGGCAGATTGTCCTAGATGCGCTTTACGAGCATACCGAACCGATGGGGTGCTCGCGAAAACGATCTGAGGTGCCCTCACTGTGCCTAAAGCCTAACAGTTGGAAACCAAAGATCATCGCGCTTCCTGTGGTATTCTCTTTCCCTCTTCGGAGTGTACTGAGCTTGACCGAAAGGCACGTCTCGGATTCACTCGATAATCGGAATGACTGGAGCAAGTCTTCAGCTCTCAGAGGAGACACTTTATAGGTGTGAAACTTGCGAGGCGGATTGTGTATACCCCAACATGCCTGCGAGCAGAATGCTCAGAGGACTGACAAGCCAGTTATGCCATGGATTTGTGCCACATCGAGAATTTGCCAGTATATATTGGGGTAGTCAAACCGGAAGATGAATCCGTGTCTTGATACCATTATGGTGCCCTCAGCCACTACCAGTGTGTTTCCACCGAAGACAAACAATCGCCGTTTTCTTGGATTAGTTGACAACAAGATGACAACAAGACGCAACGCGGGACCGTTGAGATCCTAGATGACCTGATGCTGATGACACCAAACTCTGAATCCGTATCTCTTTCTTGTTGCGGGAGGACGATTTTCGAGAAACTTGTCGCGATAAATTCGAGGTCAGGAGGCGATTCTGGTTCTCGGCAGGTACGATTCCACTCATTCCTCGTCATCGATATGCAGGTCTGCGAGAGAGAAAGTATTTGATGTGACGCCTTGTTACATAAGTGTCAGTTCATAGCTTCCATAGAAGCAAACTCTTCTGCCAGGCAGTGAAGCATTTCCACAGTCAAACGGGGGCTAATACAATAGTCACAAAAGCTGGTGGCGGCTGCCCGCCGACTTGGAGCCAGGCTGTTGCATCGCGAAATCTTCCCACATTTGATACATAATATCGTAGGTATAAAGGATCAGCATTGCAATGACCAGACAGTCTTGGGGAGGAAAAAAGGGAAGAGAGGAAAGGTCAGTGACCCGGTTGACGTATAGTCACGGCACCAGATGTTCTAGCGTGCAACTACAAAAGCGATGTTTCCCCGAATCGGCGGCGGAGACGAGAGGGAGCGAGGATTGGCTGGGAGATTTCTCCGCGAGCACAGTACCAAAGATCCCCCAAACCAACTAACAGGCCTAACCTTACAGTGCTCTGTGTTTGCGGGTAGCTTTATTCCATGGTTCTTGACTGGCCCGCTCGGCCAAATGTGCCTGCGGATAACAAAGTCGCCCGCAAAATGGTCACATATGGTGCTGGTCTGATGGGGTACCATCGAGGGAGCAAAACCGTGCCCGGTCAGGACAGCGCAATGATGATCCTTTCTGGGCTTTGCCCTCTGCAATACCGTCCTATGGCTTCTCCAGGGCCTGTGATCGATCTGCTGAACACCCTAATGAGGAACTGACTCTTGGCCAATAGAATAATCCCTGTTCGCGTGGCTTAGGTCAGAGGATGGACACTCCCCCCTCCCAACCCGACAGCTGTCTCTTCCTAGCCTCAGATATCCCCTCTCAATAATTCCACCATTAAGCGGAATATTATTGTTGGGCCATTGGGCGGCAGCACCCAAGTGCGTGGTCAACCACTGCATCAACAGCCTGGGCATAGCTTGCCTCCACTGGTAACTCGGCTAAGCTCTTTGGGATCAAAAGGCACCCATATTACGGAGTACACCTGTCACCAGATCAACTGATTTCCTTGTCTTGTGGGGCACTGTTCAGCCTGGACCTTCCTCGATATCAGTCGCCACTTCACTTCTCTAATCTGATCCTTATCGTTCCTGCAACGTTATAATATACACCCCACCGCCGAGCAGCCATCTCGACGAAAAACAAACGAGGGGCATCTCCACAGGTTGGGATTCGAGACTCCCGCCTCTGCAGACAACAGGATGAGACAAGAAAACACTGGCTCGTCACTAAACGGCGACCACAGGTAGGTACCTTACTGTTAACAACTTTGTATATTTCGCCCGTATCCTCTTGACAGTATCGGTTGACTGTTTATTGCCAATAGTCGCCGCAACCAGAGCAGTCAAAGCGCGCGTCTCGAGCCTCCAAACGACTCTTCTCAAACATCTGACCGACTCGCCGAGGAACTGGATTATTACCGAAGCTTTCTCGAACAGCTTCTAGGATTAGTCCGCAATGGAGACCAGGATACTGTCAATCAGATGGTCTCCATGATTCGTTCGGACGCCACCCACCAGCAAATTCTGGCAGCCTTGTCTGAGAATTCCGCCAACGATGGCCAGACTACCCAAGGGGCCCGTGGTCGGAATAATCACAACCCGAACTGAATGACTTCAACCCTGCTATGCCTCGCATCTCCAGCAGATTGTCTGCATGACGCATGATCGTTTGATAAGGTCTTCACAAGGTTTCCTGGTCCCCTTTGAACGCAGATGAGGGTGGTGAGATACAGCTAGACGAGTTATTCGTATATCTTTTGGTCTAGTATCATATTAGTCGGCTCTTTCAAGATAAGGAAAGTCTACGTATCTATCGTCTCACATATTATTCCAGAGAGAGCCGCCACCAGCAGCATAGATGGCCGCCGTGTGCTGAGAGAACGCTGTGTACGATCCTCTAGACCAGCAAATGTCTCGCACCAGGTACTGTGTTGCAGTCAGGCTCTTGTTGCACCGGTCTATCTCAGTTAGCATACTGTATTCCTAGAGGGGCCATGTTAACTGTCCCTATGGACAGAGCTTGCTTTTCCAATGGAGGCCGGCCTTGGACGCACCATTATCCATATCTGCCCCCTACACTTTTGGCTCAGCATAGCGATGTGCTTGTCGCGACTCTGAATGCCCACTATGGTGACATAGAGTGTTCAGCGAGCGATATCGGCTTGGCTGCTTCCTGCAGGGAAGCTGCATGAGAAACCATCAATGAAAGCCGTCACTTACCTAAACCAATTATACATGTTAATTGTCGCACTCGATCACCCAATTCGAAATTTGACAATAAGGACTAATGAGTTGAGAAAGTGATCGAGCGATCATCATATGTAGAGAGACAGTAGAAGTAGTAGTAGTAGTCGCTGCTCGTGATGTCAAACGGAGCTAAACCCCCTTGAGCGTCCAACCAACAACATCCTTGGCTGCAGACTGTGGTGGTGCCTTCTCAGTACGGGTCTTTCTTGCAGTGTTATATTAGTATTCCCCCACTTACGACGTCAACTTCTTCCCAGTGATATGGTGACTCACTGTCTACTTACTGCGTTTGTCTACGGATCGATATTATGACGGACTGTAGTGTAAAGACGCAGTTTTAGTACTCCTTTACTTTCATCACGACCCACACTGGTCTCACTTCCAGACTCGATAGCTTTCATGTACGTCGACGTCAACGGCTTCTATTTCTTCATTTATAAGAAGCTGGTGTCGAAGCGACCGTATAATGACGGCTACAATATCGTTAGGATATGGAATTAAAAAACAATCAGAATGATACTTTACGATAGGTCCTGTAATGCTACCAGAATTTCATGAAACATGACGATTTGCTTTCATAGTCGATATCAGAGAGTATTACCATCACCACCGATATCACATCTGGGATGAATCGATGTATCATGTATCTATAAATCCTGTCTATGACATCAAAGCGCCTAAGGAGTGCAACGGCCCGTGAAACGAGGATACAAGGAGCAGTCGCGAACGGTGTAACGAGCACACAACCAAGCCAAGAAACGTTCGAGACCAAGACCGTAACCACCGTGAGGGGAGGTACCGTACCTATATTGTAGATGCATATTAGTTATACGCCTCTTTAGAAAAAATTACATGACGGGGTGAGGCTCGTGAAGGCTTGACTTACTTGCGCTGGTCAGTGTACCAGTAGTATGGGGAAGGATCCATGCCTTCGTGCTTGTAGGCGGCCATGAGCTCATCCCAGTCGTCCATTCTCATACTACCACCGACGATCTCACCAACACCAGGCATGAGAACGTCCACACTCTCAGTGACACGGCGGTCTTCAACGTCCTTCTTCATGTAGAAAGCCTTGATCTCAGCGGGGAAATGGGTCAGGAAGATGGGCTGGTTGATGATATCGGTCATCTTTCTCTCAGCAGCCTCGGCAATGTCATCACCGAACTCGTGAGGCTTGCCCTCCTCGTTGGGGATGTCGTGTTCCCGCAGCCATTCAATGGCATCGGAGTACTTCATCCGCTTGAAGGGGCGGCTGGGGGGCTTGAAGTCGGGGTTGAGTTTCTCGATGAGAGCCTTGGTGGCCGGCTCAGCCAGAGTCAGATCAATAACACGGCAGATGACGTGCTCAAGGTGATCAAGGAGGTCGTTGAAAGTGATGAAGTCAAGCTCTGCCTCGATGTGGGTGTACTCGGACAGATGGCGACGGGTAAGCGACTTCTCAGCGCGGAAAGAAGGGCACACACAGAAGACATCACCAAGGGAGGGGAGGCAAGTCTCCAGGTAAAGCTGGGAGGACTGAGTCAAATAAGCATTCTCGCCATAGTAGTCGAAACCAAACAAGGTGCTTCCACCCTCCACCTGAGTCTGAACCATGGCAGGAGGGGTGACTTCCAGCATGCGGTTCTCTTCGAAGGTCTGACGGAAAGCCCGGAGGGTAGCCGCGCGAACCTTCATGACTGACGAGGCGGTCTCACCACGGAGGACGAGGTGACGGTTGTCATAGAGGGTTTGGGGATCAGCATCAGGTGCAACTCTAGTGGTGATAGCCTCCTTGTCACCAGCAGCGCGGCCAATGATAGTGTAAAAATCGGCGTGCAGCTCACGGTTGTTGGGAGCATGTTGCTTAGGGGGGACGGCACGCATCTCACCATGGATAGCAATCGAGGTCTCAAGGGTAAGAGTCATGGCATCGTAAGTCTTACACAGGTTGCCCGTCAGGACGCACTGCAGGTAGCCATAGCCATCGGTCAGAGTGAGGAAGATAACGTCCTTCTGAGCACGCAGGCGGTGAACTCTTCCAACCACACGAACACGAGTTCCAGGAATCTCAGACTCGGGGGATCCCAGCTTGACAACAGCCGGATCAGTCACATCAAGACGGATCTTGGTGGGCTTGGGAAGTGATGTGTCCTCCGTAAGAACGACCTTCTTTGCCTCCTCAAGGATAGCCTGTCGCTTCTCAGCCTCCTGCTTCTCACGGATAGCCAATTCTTGTTCCTTCGCAGCCTTTCTCTTCCGTTGCTCATACAGGTTGGTGGCCTTCTTGACCGCCGACTTCGTGGCCGGCTTCCACTCCAATTTAGACGCGGGGTCGGCACCTGCCTCCGTGGGCTCACTCTGGGACTTGCGGGTCAAGTACTGGTTGCCATCGGTAGGAGCGTGCTGCAAGAAAGCATGAAGGAGAGTCTTGTAGGGGGCAGATTCGGTTCCGTTGGCGGTCGAGTCGTCCCTGCCGACATCTTCGTCAATGTAGATAGAAGCCATTTTGGTGCCTCAGGTGTAGGGATCTGGCCAGCGCGAGTGAATTGTTGGGGGGGGGGGGGATGGGCTGGGCTCTGGCGGAGATGTCAGTCAAATGTGTTGCGGAGACGCATTTGAGTCACCACGAGAGTCTTCTTATCGGGCGCTCATAGGCATTGAGTGATAAGACAAAATGACAGAAAGCACTCACATGTAGACCAGCACTCTGATCAGGAAGGCGACTATGCAGCAAGTCCCGCGGGAATGGAGGCCGAAATGTTCAACTCGCACAGTGTGGAAGTGAACAGTGGAGGGGTAAATTTTTGGATCCCGATATCCCCACGTATTATTCAGGCATCAATAAGGCATACACTCTGCCGCCCAGCACGGATACTACCTTATCTAACCACTTGGAGACCCGGGATAATCCTACGTCCGGACGATGTAGTACAGTAGCCATTATGCACCGGATCCATTAGTTATGAGCAAAATCGAGGGTTTCATGCTTGGGATGAAGTAGTCCTGAGAAGAAGACACATCCAATGATGTCTAAGATAAGGCCCCTCACGCCGATAGAGACAGGAAGCGCTACCGTTTTGAATATCTCAATTGCCATGTCATATCTTCTAAAGATGTTTCTTGTCTTCTCAACCAGCAATCCTATGGGCATTAACTCTGTACGGATTAGTGAAAGGGTTATAACTGTACGAAGTATGGTACTGGCCATTTGCAAAAAGGCCGCCATGGAAGGTAGGCCTAAGGCGCCAAGACCCTATTGTTCTGCAGCCGGATCGGATCAACACATAGTCCGTCAGGACCAAGAGCCGCTGACCAGGACACCCCACCAACACAGATCGTTCGTAGACGCTGTGGCTGGTTGAAAAGTCTCCTGTTAGCCCCGAATTCTGGCACTTCCGCTGATTGATCAATCATTTATGATCAGAATGACCGATCGCAATGTGGGAAAAGCAAAGACCCAACTGATGCATCTCAGGGGATGGCATAACTCCTGGAGGCGCTGATACCGCTGCTGCAGGGCGATAGAACGAATTATAGATTTCTCAGCATCTGCCTTGGCCGAAATTACGCTGTCTCCCGAACTTATTAGTCGGCCATCGTCTGAACACGAACCAGAAGCGGTTGCTTTGGGCAGGCTACTTGATACCACCCATTCTGAGATCGAATGATAGCAGAACAAAGCGCTTCAATCAGCGTGGAAGCGCAGCATGCTTCAGAGTGGGAGAGCCGCTGCTTAGTGCTGCTCATGCGACGGATGACAGATGGTTGGATGGAGACCATTTCCCCATCTTTTGCCTCAAAAGTATGGATCTGCTAAAACCTTTCACTCCACAAGAATTGATTACGCTATTACTATAATTATCCATTGGGACTTTTCCCGCAGTCACAATGATGGTTCAAATTCACCATGGAGAATTGACTGGTTGAGGAATCCTTCTGCCGCAAATCCCCTTTTCTACCCACCTGCTTTTCCTCCCCCTTTGATACATCGATTACATACTTGCTGCTCTGTCTCGGCCCATTCCTTGCTTACCTGACCCTGTACCAGTCTGTCTCTTTTTGGCTAGTTCCTCGCGTTCTTTACTATCTGGGATTGTTGGTTCTCCCACAACAGTTCCCTTGGTTCGATTGTGATTTTGTTTTAATTACTTGAGTTGTTGATGATAATATTCTGATAAGCTTTCATTTGTTTGATTACTGTTTACTTGCATTTCTATAAGGTAGTTTGGGAAACGCAAGAGAAGAATCGGAGGGTGTTGTTCTTGTTCTGTCCTCGCGGATATCGTTCATTCATTATTATCTTTATTTTCTCCTCACTATTTATCGCGCCTGTGTCCCTCAAACACGCGCCCCCCTTTTTCCCCTACCAGGGGCCCTCTTTTTTCCCTCACCTTTCTTTTCCGCTTAACTTGTACTGGCGGCTGTAACCTTTTAGTTTAATTGTTCTTTGCAATTACTTTCTCTCTTTCCCTTTGCTTTTCTTTTACTCTTCGTCTACTGTTATTACCACTTATCCCTTTTCAGTTGGATTGTCGGCGGCCTTTGGATACCTTCTTTGTCAACGTTTGGGTCCGC